CAAGATCATTTGTGGTTAGGGAGAACCGAAGAAGGGAAGTTGGCATTTTGTCACTTTTGTTCAAGCCATTTTTACATGAGATCAAGTTGCAAATCAGATCCTTGCATGCTTGTACCTTGCATTACAGGTCCTAAACTCCTTATATACTCCATAATTAAATGCTAACTCAGTGGTTAAAGGCTTTATTTTGGCTTTTGGAGCATTGTACAAGAAATAATTCCATAAATGGCCAAAAGTTCACATTGCCATTTTCATAAAGGCAAGCTTTTCCAACTTTATCAGCCTTGAGACTTGGACTTATTTCTTTGGTGCAAACAACTTCCACAAATCATAAGCAAAGTATACCAACTCTTTGCAGTTCACAAGCAAGCAAGGACATGCCTGGTGGATTGGTCACTTTACTTTTTCTTCAAGTACAAGAAAAGTAGCCAAAAGGAAAAAGCTTGCACATCAGACGAAGAGTGGACTTTGTATCCATTCTATACAAGTATACAAACTTGTTACAAGCTAGGACACGAATGCATAACATCTAAAACTCTCCCAAACTGAAAAACTTCATTTTTCTGCCCAAACACCCAGTTTCTGCAGAATCATAGCAAGCTCATTATTGGCTCGTGCGTTTCTTGTTTCAACACTTCAAACATCTTCCATACATCCTACCAAATATATCCAAGCCTTTGTTCTGGTTCTGTGAGCTCTGTTTCAGACATTTCCATTTTCAAACTTAGAGGTTGCAGGTTGACTTGTGCAGGAAGTTCTGGCCATCCACAAAGCACCATAAGCATTGGAATAAGTTGAAGGAACTTCAAGGAAGCTCACACGATCCTCAGGCCTCATTCAAAGACCCCACATTGCCATATCCAAATCCAGCTGAAGGAGGTATTTTTCAAAACTCTATCTCTCTATTTAAGCATCCTTAAGCCACAATTTGTGAAGCAAAAATGTAGTCTCTAGCATGGTGAAGTTGTACATATGCATAGTTGTCATTTATATTAACTGAGCTAAGAGAATTTGAATGTTGAACATGCTGAAAAAATTAGGTCAGAAATTAGGGGTTATAAAATTCTCTCTGATCTTTAAGAGTTAGGTTACAAATTTTATATCATTGGAATCGTGAGATTACAAGCTACATGTTTTGTGTTATGGGTTTTTGTTTTTGTGCACATATGTGAGAGTTGCAGGTTTGTAGATGAAACGCGCGCAAACTGAAGGACAGGGATGAAGATGAGTTGGCTTGGGCTTTTTAGCATTTTTGACCTTTTTGTTTTTGTTTTCCACACCCCCTGTATTGCTTTTGCACCCCCCTGATTTATTTCTTATATTTTTACATTTTTCTTGCATATTTTTATTTTATTAATTGCATTTATTTTTTCTAATGATAAAAAAAAAATACCCAAAAATATTTTCTTTATTTTTTGCATTTTATTTTTTTATTTATTTTTTGCATAAAAATAGTTTATTAGAATAAATAGATTCTATTTTTCATAAATAACTTGTAAATACATTTAATAAATACTATACATTTTTTATTATATTATTTTCCATATAAAATAATTATTTTCATACATATTTTAATTTTTAATATTTGTACATAATATTATTTATTATTTTCTTGTACAAAAAATGGATAAAATATAATAATAGAACATTACTTTTCTTTAATAAAAAATTAGGGTTTCACCCTTTCAAAAATAATAATATTTTTTCTCTTATTTTTAGGGCTTAAATAAATCATTTTTCTCATATAAAAATCAAGTACAAAACATTTTTACATAAATGCATTTTTATTGCATTTTTAATATTTGTATATTTATTTAATTTGCACATAATTCAATTGGGTTGTAATAGTATTTTAGGGTTTATATTTGTGCAATATCCCCATTCAAAAACTTGTATCCCCCCTCCCATAATAATTGTTGTAATAGCTTAGTTTACTTTTACGCAATTTATCGCATTTATATCATGTGTAGTAAATTAGGATTTTGCATGATAAGACCAAAAACAAACAAGTAGAAATGACATAATCCAAGACAAATAAAATGCATGTAAAATAACACACATTGCACACAAGCACCCTTAGGGTTTTACCCACTTGGTTGCCTAAATAAAAATGGTCATGGTATGCATGCAAAGTATCTTGGCAAAACAAAACAAAACAAATGATCCTGGTCCCTCAAAATGCTAAAGATACTTGGCAACATTGCTATCATGGTCATACGATGACCCACGCCTATCCCGTTTAACATCCAAAGATAGGACTGTTTACCAAATCAATGGTAAATCAACAATATCAAATGAATAAGAATGCACAAGAAAGACTTTTGAGTAGGTAGATAGCTTCTAGTTACTTGATCAATTTTAAAACAATCCTTGCTATTTTCAAAAACAAACACACACATTTCAAAACATTTTCCAAACAACTTTCAAAATATTGAAACATTTTTCAAAATACAAACATCTCTGTATACATTCTTACGAACGAGAATCATTACAAAGATTGCCTAAACGATGGCCTCTTTTCAAAATACTTTCAAAATTACACAAAGCACCATTTCAAACAATTTCAAAAGAAAAGCAAGTGATCTAGACAAGTAACTAAGAGCCCATGGAAAACCATAGATGAAAAGGGTGCTAGCACCTTCCCTTTTCATAATCTACCCCCCGAACTCAAGAAAACATCTCAAAGGTCTTTCCTGTGCTTTTTTACCTTTCCTTTTGGATAAAAGAAAAGTCGGTGGCGACTCTTGCTAACCGCAACATTTGCAAACACAAACGCAAAATCTCAAGTCAGTTCTCCCACCGCATTACACTCTCCCCTTTTACTTTGTGCTTGCTATCGAGTCAATAAGTGGAGTAAGGGCTCGCAACCATCCCCCACACTTTCTAGTCCGTGTCATTCTTAGCTCACGTTGTACGTTGATGCTTTAAACCATGCTTATTCTTGTCCATTGAGTCAAATAAAGTGGAAAAAAGGTTCGTTACCAACCCCCACACTTTGTCACTCATTTCGACGATGTTAGCTCACATTTATTTAAACGTTGACGCTTCAAGTTATTACTCAATATCAGTGTTTGAGAAAATCAAGTGGAAAGAGTTCATTACTTCCACTTTGAAATCCATTGAATTCATTGTTTGTTGCTAGCTCTTACTTGATTGTTATTTTGGTTTTGGTCCGAATTTTTTCGATTGCACTTGTGTTTGCACTTTCTTTAGATCTTTGCATGCTCCCTTAAGATTGCTTGTTTCGTTTTCGATTCAAGTTGGATATTAGGTTGTAATCTTTGCATGTTCCTTTAGGATTATTTGTTTCGTTTTCGATTCAAGTTGGACATTAGATTGTAACCTATGCATGCTAACTTAGATAGAGATTTCCCTTTGTTATCCAAACTTTAGGTCCATCATTGCATGATAACACTATGATTGTTAGTTTCCCTTAGACTTTTTTCCCCTTTTTGCATCCTTAAAACTAAAACTCTCTTTTTCTTTGTTCAAACTTCAAAACACTCTAATATTATTAAACCCTTTTTCAAGATAAAAAACACTAACCAATACAAACTCTTTTTGTCTTCGGATTTTTTCTTTTAAAACCTTTTCGATAAGAGTTTGTTGTTTCAAGTTCGAGCAACCTAGAAATGCTAAGTGTGTGAGTGGTTGAGTATGAGTCTCTTACAAGTTGCAACACCAAGCACAAATTGCAATCCTAACCACAAGGATGCAAACACAACATTTTCCATAAAAAAACATGCAACCAACCAAAACTTTTGAGGTGAATTACGAGTGCATTGATCTCCATAGCACGAATGGTGGTACGTAGGCATAAATGTTCGTAACCGAGGCAGACACGACTAATAAAACCTTTTTTATACATAATCCTCTGCATCCATGCATTCCCTTTACGGCCTAGCTTTAGATTTACACCCTTTAGATTAGACAACAAGAGTGGATCTCATGGAGTACCACAGACGTGAGGGATGCTAATACCTTCTTCTCGCATAATCAACTCCCTTATCCGTTCTCTTGGTTGCAAGATCTTGATTTCACCCTCTTCAGGTTTTCTTCGATGTTTTCCTTCCCTCCGCGAGATAAATAAATATTTGATGTTAATGTTTCTAAAGTATCCTGAAGAATTTGTCGTTTACCTATTTGCATTCAAGTTGATTAAATTAATGATGGTGAATCGAACTTAAAACTTAGTGTGAACATATACGCTTTAAAATGTATTTTGTATAACTTTCTTCGTATCATTTTCATCTTCTTCTTATCAATATTTTACCGCAGACCCCAACACAACAGATAAAAAAAATTAAAGCACATGAACAATCGAGCTTTCACAACTTCAATTTTTTTATGTTGATCTTTGTATTTAATCATCTTTGCTCTTCAACATCAAAACCTTCTTAAGTTCACTTTTTTAATAACTTAATCTTTTTCTACCTTAATAATGGTCATGATTAATTTAGCTTTATTCTTTTGTAATCATCAAAATCACATTATAATTTAGACATCACATAGAAGCACAATATCAAAGTATATGGAGGTTTGAGCCATCAAGAAGGATTGAGAAAGCAGTGGTGGGGCAAAGATTTCACTAAATTCGCCACCAACATTGACATAGATCTCTGGAATAATTAAATAACAACTCTTTTAAAGTCATGCATTCAGATAAAATTATACAAGCACCTTTCACCAACCATATTGCAAGCTATTGCCAAAATGACGTCTATCTGGAAATAGCATTGCCACTAAAAAAAACTAAGAAACGGAACAAGATAGGTCTGTGCATGGTGTATCCGTTTCCATTTTGACTGTATGCTATTATCACAATCTCATACCGAAATTCAAAAAAAAAAAAACATAATAGAGCAATGAAAATTCCGCAATTAAACTTCTCTACCAAACGCTCAACGCGTAATTGCTCTAGCCTAAACCTGTATCATAGATAAAATACCAACGGTGACATATAACTAGTAGAAGCCAGCAATGGAGGAGTATCGGCAAAATTAGCTGATAGTTTCAGCTGTAATCTTTTCCTGAACAGCTTTATAACATTGGAGACTGCAAAGAGGAAGCTTGGTTTTTGAATCCCGGTATTTATATGGATTCCTACATGATGGACCAGCACACTTCTCGCGGGGTGGAGGATAACTGAAAGAATGTTCAATGATATCATTAGTAGAAAGGAACATTTAGATGTGTTTTTTCAGACAAACTTAACATCCAATCAATCTTCATCATGGTCAAAGTCAGGGAACCAGCTAAGAAAAGGCACTGATTTATTTTTAATGAACAGCACAGTTCTTAAAATCAATTTCTATCCCAGCTTATTTTCTTTGCCTAACATAACAAAAAGAGTTCTCAAAAAGACAGTCAAACAGGTTCCAACATCAAATTAGCAAAAGCGTACATGCACAGATGTCTAACTTCTGCTCATTGATTGTTGACAAAATCATGGAAAGAGCTAAAGCCAGAGACATACACTGAGACTTATATTTTGGGAAATACCACGAAATTTTATCAAGTTTTCGCCATTCCCATTTTCTTTCTTCTAATTTACCAAACATGCATAAACAAGTTACCAGGAAGATAGTTTAACAGGTTACATGCATCAAATTAGCATAGCTTTATACCTGATGGGCTTGGAGTTTAAAATCGGAGGGATCCCCATTTCATCAGGAAAAGTCAATGTTGTTCCAGTAGGACTTATCACATATCTGATGGTATTTGATGCAAGTTTTTCTGCGTTGGCTGCCTTCTCCTGCAAAGAACAGTTTTATAAGAACTAAAAGCTAACAAAAAGAAAAACAGAATGTAGGAAATTCATTTAACGCTGCCAAACCTGTGCCAGTTCTTCTTGGCGCTTCTTTATTTTATCCTCTCGCTTTTTTCTGCTGGAGTCTTGACCAAGTATTTTTCTGATAGCTTCAGCCTAGAAAACAAATTTAAATGGATATGACATGCCTTCCAATGTAAAAACCAAACATAATGATAGAAAATACCTGTAATTTAGAGAGAACAAAAACAAACCTCAGATTCCCTAGCAGCCTTCTCAACTTGCATTTTACGTCTATTGGCAGCCTCAGTTTTCTTTGATAGCAGCTCCTCTTCCGTAGGCTTCTCTTTTTGCTCTGTAGTCAAGCTACCTGGTTAACGACTCTGGTATAAAATTGATAAAAGAAAAATAGTACAATTAATACTCACTTCTAGGTGGGGCAGGAGGTAAACCGTTGGGAAACTCAATTAAACTCGCATTAGATGTAGAGGTATCTTTGCTTGATTGAAGGGCCCGTTGACGCGTTGTAAGAGTCATTTCCCTCTTAGTGTCCATCAGTACATCAACAGATTCTTTCCTCTGCTTTTTCTTTTTCTTATCCTCAAGCTCGCCATCAGACCCTGACTCCTCTTCACCCTCATAATCTGTATCTTCAAGCACTTTATCAGATCTAGACCTTTTCTTTCCATCTTTGCCTGACCTTGTTGAGGCAGCATTCCCCATATTAGAGACGCTAGAGAGTTTTCGATGTTTCTTGCTTAATTCTTCTTCATCTCTGTAGACTGCAGAAACTTTTGATATTTTCAACTTTTCCAAGTACCGAATCTCATCATCAGCATCGTCGTCATCACCGAATTCCCCATCGAGGACACGTCTTTTGGGTACTCTCTTGCTCTTACGAACAGGCTCAGACTTATCTGCTTGCTTGCTAGACGTGTTCTTTCCGGATATCTTCCCCATCGAAGATTCCTCTTTCCCGAGACCAAAACCACCCCTTTTGAAATCCTTCCACGGAAGGCCTTGGAGGCCGCGCTTCTTATCAGACGGGGAAATATTATCGTCTGAATTACTCTGTAATTACGCAATTTGATGAATGCAATCAAACAAGATTATAAGATAAAAAAGAAAACGGAAAGTATTACATATATAGACAAGAAATCAAGCCCAAATATATTTTCTATAAAAGTAAAATCTAAATACCGCTGCCGTTCTCACAGACACGCCAGATGTGATACGCCTTTGATATTCTCGTGAAACAAAATGACATTTGATAAGAAGCCAACTACTGAATAGTTGAGAAACATCAAATACCGTATGGCCAATATCCATATAAGGCATCAACGGTAAACTAAGCTTTTAGGCAGAGGTTGTTATATATTAAATCCCCCCTCATGTAAAAGCTCTTTGGGTATAAGGCATGTGATCAATGTGCATGCCTACTCTACATTGTGTTACTTACATTTAAATGAAGAATTGCGACAACTCAGATCAAATTGTAACTAGGCCATTGAGCTATGATAATATGTCAAGGATCAAATCTCCTAAAGTGTAAAGATTTATTAATTATGTGAAAACACTTAAACGGCCTTATATCTCTAACAAAATGAATAACCTATAAATGATATATATGCTACGTTACATCAGAAACAGAATTACCTGTTGCTTTTGGCGTGGTCTGGAAGCATCCGATAAACGAGAGTTTTTTGAAGTTGATCCACTTCCAGAAGCACTATTAGAAGCAGAGTTGGCTTGTATAGTACGCGTCACACCACCAACCTTGAGTTTAACCTTCTTAACCCTATTCTCATTCCCTAACCCATCCTGAGAAACACCAAACAGACCCAAACTATTCCCCTCAGGATTCCTCCCACCATAAACATCTGCATTTTTCGACTCCGAATCAAATCCATCCTTGAATTTACTACTCGAGCCTTTCCAATTAGCCGGAGCAAGAACACCTTCACTACTCCGTCTATTATGTAAACCACTGCGTCCAATACCCGGCGAGGGCTGAGTAACACAATGGTTGAGATTAAATTCTTTTCTCTTGGAACCAGTATTAACATAACCATCATTCTCATCGCTAGACGGCTTGTCAGGATCATCTGAAGGAGGTGTTGATGAAGGAGTCAAATCATCAACAACAGGCTGCGAATCAGGCCGTGGCCTGCGCGATGTTTGGCTTCTCTTCCTCCTCACAGCATTGCTGATACCATCAAACCGGGTAGATCCTAAATCTTCCATCAAAAATCTCTTTTTATATTCAAACTATTCAATTATAGAACCTTTTTACATCAAAATCAGATTCTTTACAAAGATTTCATACAATCAAATATATACATGAATGAATTACCATCAAAAACTTGTTATTATACAGATTTCTATTAATCATTCAATTCAACTACTAATGAAGAAAAAAATTCACCAACAGTGATATTTTAACCTAAGTTGTCAATCGCGGCGGTTTAGCGCATAATTGGGGAATTATGATGAGGAGTGGATATTTGTTGCAACGGGATTATCTGGAATTGAGGCTGTGAATTGTATCGCTGAAAATTTGGAAGAAAAAAATGAAGGAAAACCTGGAGGAGTTTTTCACTGTTTGTGGCGGCGGCGAGAAACTCCGTCTCCGTTTACCGGCCAGTTGAGTTCAGTTCGACACATCAACTTGTTTATGATGGTACAAGCTGACGAGTTTAATTTGGTTTGATGTTTTAATCGTTAAAATGCGTTTATTTTTTTGTTTTAGTGAATCATGGGCCATCTTTAAATTGAAATAGATTGGGCTTGGAGTAGAAAATCTCTTTCTAATATAGCCAATTTTTCTTTGCACCCTTATATATTTACCAAAGTCCTCGACGAAATGTCAAAAATATTTTTTATTTCTGAAGATATATCTCTGGAAATATCTATTTGTTCAGATTTCTGGCAAATAACCTTTAACCTCTTAATTAAAGTTTACTTGCAGGATTGATTACAAAATCTTGGACTTAGTGTTAAATTTGATATAGTTTTTTGGTGTTTTGAATTGGGTAAAGACTGAATTGTAAACGAAACAAGTAATCAAGACAATTGAAAAGATAAAAGCAAACAAGACTGAAAACTTGAAAATATAAATTGCTTTAAAATAAAGTTGGACACATGCATACATTTCAAGCTTGAACTCGTTTCTCTCTTAACGCTGATACTTTGAGTAATTCTTTGAATGTTACAAAATGCGACCTTTAAAAACCGAGTACAAACTTTGCTTAAATAGATATAAAAATAACCACTATCTAAACATCTGACTGCTTGCAGTCTTCCGCGTATTAATTTCATGGGAAAATTGCCTTTGACAACTTTCTCGCGTTCTTGACGACCGTTTTGCAAAAACTATTTTGTGTCAACTGCTTGCACGTTTGACTTGGCTTCAACAATAATTTGACAATGAAATTTGGTAAAGTCCCTGAAGCCTTTTCCTCGAGGTGTCGAATGGGCTCGGTCGTGACCTCTCTGGTTTAAAACATGTTAAAGCTTCTCAATTCCAACATGGTGAACCAATCGATGTTGAAGTTATCTCTTTCACTTGGCGATGGGCTTCCACTCTTGTAGCTCCAATTTACTTAGTCGAAAATTATTGGTTAACAAATTTCCCGCCAAAAGGCCTATTTCGACTGAGATTATTTTTTATTGAGAAATATGGCAGTTTTCTTTTCATGGATTTTTCGATACCATACCTTCTTGCTGGCGTCAGGTGTAATGATGGCTACTTTCTGCATTGCAATTTCCAAGGAAAGCTCCATCATTTTCCATAATTTCCTCTACCACCTAGGTTGTGGGTTTTCAACCACTTCCCACTTCAAGGGAAATGAAACAGTCACCCTATTGTTCCTCAACCGACACTTGTTCAACTTTAGTGGCTTTTACTTAACCTATAAATACCTTTATACTACCTAAAGACCTTATACATCTACATTTTCTATCTTCGTTTTCACTGGTTTTCAGAGAAAGAGACAAACAAACTATTTTTCTTCTCTCGCTCCTTTCCCCTTACCACAATGGCATCTTCATCTTTAACCCAAGTAAACACCCGAAACAACCTTGTGGCATTCGTACTCACATAAGAAGAAGGCCTAAACGACATCCCTCAACCACCATCAACTGAAGAAACTAAGGTGGCAAAATGACAATAACAAATGCCAATACTCTTCATTATTACAGACAAACTCTTTACTTTCCATGGTCAGTATCCAGAAGCAAAAACACATCCAACAAAGGTCCAACAATACTTTCCTTGTTTCACTCATGTTATTCCTCTCGACTTGAAATTCATGGACCCTAACGCTAGGGTTTTTCGGTCTATGCCTGCTTCTGGGAACAAAGATTATTTAGCATGGCTTAACAAGGTTCAAGCAAAACGCAAGGCTCAATGGGAAAAAGTTAGCATTTTCGACATCATTCAACTGTCATGTATGCTCATAAAATTAACCCTTGTATGATTCTTGCTTCGATTTTCTTCTAGGAAGGTTCGACCAATACCTTCCAGCTTCCCTGTGGGATGTTGACGTCCACTCTATTTGGCGTGGCAGGCATTACTGGGCTTTCTCCTTTGGGTGAAACATTCAACCCAACTCTGTCAATTGAGTTTGAGTTTGACTTCGATCGTCCAAGCCTGAAACACTACATAACCGACCACCACGTTAAAAACACTAACAAGGTTTCCAACATGGAAAATATAGCTTTCTTAAACCTTTGGCTTTCGTACTTTCTATTTTGCCCAGGATCGTTGCAAATAGCCTAACATTTTATCAACCTAGCGATCCAAATTCATGAGGGTTGACAAATTTCTCTAGGCAAACTTTTGTTGGCATATTTATACCACACTTTGGGTATTGCTTCTTTGAAGATAAAGTATCTCCCTGAGACTCCAAAATTGTTGGCTCTTTCTTACCCTTTTTGGCTACTACAACATTGGTTGAATGCTACCTTCAAGCATCAAATAAGTTATCCTATATCGGAAGCAGACATATGCATGTCTAGCAGAAGGCCCGTCGAAGCCATGAGGCTTTCTTTAACTGTGCCTCAAGAAACTCCCAATGAGTTTATATTCATGAAATACATCAACCATTTCCTTGAAACAACCACTTTTCTTTCAAACATGGCTCCATTTTCAGGTCGACATATTGGCCTTGATTGGTTCAAAATTCCATTTCCTGGCGTCTCTCCAAGAGTTGTTGCTTAGTCGAATGTTGTATGGAGAGAATTTTTTACTCTAACACTTTTGTATTTTAGAATTTACGCATGAGCGAAAGGGCATGGCTTTATGATTTATCAACCAAATTTAGTGGCTTGTCAATTCGGCTTAAGCCAAATGTTGCCTAAATCTTTATTTTCCCATTTTACCAACATCCTTTGGGCTGGTCAAAATTTGAATGTTGATGAACATGCAACCTGCATCAAATTTCATAAGACAGTCTAAAATCTTGAGCTCCTTGTGTTCTAATTTCAACACTATTTCTTTTCCACCAAGGAATTCGACTAATGATGGTCTGAGTATCAACACCAATATTTCTCTGCACCAACCTTTCTCCAACGGCTACTTGATGCTTTTAGCATTTAGGCAACTAAGCTAGCATATGTGGAACCATCAACCGAAAGTTCTTGATGATAATGTCCAAGAAGCCTCCAATGTCAGTGTCAAAGACAATTAGCAGAAAAAGGTAACATTCTGGTCTCTAAAATTCGTTTTATCACAAAAATAATCTTTGTCGTTATTTTTCCACTTTCCCACAGACGAAAACATTCTTCGACTACAGAAACTATCTTCAATGATCCCCCCAAGGAAAATAATATTTCTAAACCCCAACAAACTCAAATATGGCGCCTTCCTATAGTTTCAATATTAAAGTCAAATTGCAACTTATTTCTTCTGTTTTTTAGATTTATGCAGAAACACCCCACCTATTAGTCGAAAAAGAAGATTTTGACAATAGTGATCATACTCAAAGATTTTCGTCCTTCAAAGTTCCAACGCCTACCAATCCTAAAGGAACTAAAAAGAGGAGAAATATTGTTTCCAAGGTTTTGGCTCCAAACGATACTCCTTCCAACCTCAAAAACTCCAATATTGAGAACATTTCTTAGACCAATACAACCATTGGTCCAAAAGCCCCTACCCCGACTTCTCCTCCTCAACAATCACGTTTACCTCCTACATCTCCTAAAGAAAAAGATGCTCCAGAACTTACCTCTGAGGTATTTAATTTTTTCTTTACTCATCTTCATGCATTAGGTCTTTGAACTGAACCTTAAATCATTTCTAGGAACAACCTCACATAGAGGTCGTCGAACCAAATCATTTTGTCATAGCGAATCTTGCTGAGAATACACTCGAACCTGAGAATGAGCTAAGAATTTGACTGAAGCCCATTCTAAGTCGAGTCCTCAAAAACATGATGGCTTTGCAGACGCTTTGACTAAAAATGTTCCTCCACCTGATCCTACTGGAACTTCCATTGATAATTCCAACCAAGAGCCCCAACCTATTGTTGCTGACACAGTTTCTGTTGAAGAAAGCTTGAACCAACCAGCTTCGGTTGACGTCAAATCAAAACATCCAGCTTTTGCCCATGACAAATCTCTTCATACCCAGCAAGATACTAGCTCCAACAACTATCTTAGCCAAGAAATTATAGCTATGAAATAGAAGAATCCATTTGAGACCTTATGAAGGCTTCAAAAACTTTGACAGGAACCTGCTAGTTCTTAACCTTCTGGTTCGACAACTGCTCCTATATCCGATTAGGATGCTTTTGTTATCCTCAAATTTCAACAACTTAGAACATACTTGTTTGAAGGTGAGTTCCTTATTGACGTCGAAGACGAAGTTGCATTAGGGCTAATGTTATCAAATTGATTAATAAAATTTATCAACAGTAAATTCCTGATTCTTTAGCTCAATATTTGATTGAGTTCAAAGCCTTCTTCGATCAGCTTGTCAAAGACCTTTCTCTTTGCAAAAATGTTGATTTCCAACTCAAGACAAAGTCTAATGAAATGCAACTAGAGTGGGACTTTAATAAGGCTTGCGAGAAGAAACTAAATGAGTTTAGTGCCAAGAACTAGGAGCGTCTCAACAAACATCTTGCTTTTGATCAATAGATTTTGACGTATAAGGCTCAAATAGTCAAACTTAACAAGAAGATTGTTGAAGTCAAACTTAACTAGTAAATGTACACACAGTGGAAACACATATCACATATGGA